GGGTCTTGACCGGCTCAGGAGGAGGGGGAGCATTGTACGGGAACTACAATCACAATCACAGCACAATAAACACTTTGGAGTCAGGATGAAGTTATTGTTTATTATAATGTTGGAGAAGCATTTTGCCCTGTTTTATCAGCTGACATATCGGATACACAAATATGATCTCTTACCAAATTGAAAAACAATCTGGCATCAAATCCACATTACAATAAAGGTGACATCCACTGATCTCTGATCTCTGTGTGCATTTCCTCTGGAAAAAAGGCAATGCACAGGCATGCCCACGTGCCAGAGAGGCACTGCGCATGTGTATGTGTGTGGGTCAACACTGGGTGAGCCTGTTGCCTCCCCTTTCCCCCTCCCGAGAGTTCAGACTGAATGTGGCTCTCTGTACTACTTGCGGTAAGTCGTTGCTTAAATCCACACCATCACTAGCCTGTCTGCTTAGAGACGGGCCCCGCAGCTAATGCACATAGTGTAAATAAAAGACCCACAGCATACAGAAATAAATGTATGCATTCATAAAGCACACATGAAGTGCATATCAGGATAAAGCTCTGGATGAAGTAAAACATGAGACATTGAGACAGAATTGCATATATAATCCTGTGAATTATAGAAGCTTCCACCAACATATAGTAATTTACAAGAAACTAGCGTGAATATCCAGTTAAAGTAACAGTCCTAAGCAGACATCATAACAGCTCAAATATGAGTCAGAATTATGAGGAAAATACATATTTTAATCTTTATATTGTAAATGTATGAATATGCATTATATTAATTCACATTATATTTATATTATTGAACGTGCAAATATATTTTACATGCTTTAAAATATGTTCAAAATAGAAAATATTATATAAAAAGTGATATGTAATTTTAAGTATTTATACCATTTGTAAAATATCTGTTATTTATATGTAATGTAATAAAATGAGTCATGAGGCATTCTGTTTTTGATCAATTTTGGAAATGAGATCACGATAAGATCAATGAATGGAATTGGAACAGAATCATTGGTTTCATGACCTCCTATAATAATCAGTCAAAAATGGCTGCATCTAAACTATATTTATTTTACTAGGAATTGAAATGTATTCTTACCACAACTGGTCTGTTGCCTAGGAAGTTGAGGTCAGTGTTTTCACCAAAGAGGTAGCCTTCAGGATGTGTAGAATCAAACTTCTCTCCTCCCATAATAAAATGGCTAGCAAAATAATTCCCTGCATGACAACAAACAGATCAAATGTTACAGATATTGATCATTGAATACATTTATATGCAAATTTGTCTCACACAAATGTAAAGTGCATCATTTCATTTCAACTTAATGAGCATCACCAACCCACTGTCTCAGCACTGTCAAAATGTTTTATTCAAAACATAAAAAAGTTCATAATTCATGGTAACATTTGTGGGGTAAGAAATGAACTGGTTATATTTAATATAATATAAGTCAAAAATACAAGTTCGACTGATTTAACCTGACTATATTGTAGTACACTGCTTTCAGATGAGGTAGAAGCAGCTCTTTAAGGTTACAGATGCACATTTAATTATTTAGCAACATGTAGACTACTAAATGGTGCATAAAATGATAAGCAGATGCGATGCAAAAACCTCACAAGACACAAGACAACTGAAAGGTTATAAATGAAGACAGATATAGTAGACTGGGGAACCAATAGATTAAAGAAAGACAAGCTCAAGGGCAGACAGAGGATATAGGCAACCGCCATGGGTAGGATAGATGAACAAGCTTGAAACTGGAGCAGAAGGGAGCCAGAATCAGGCACAAGTCCCAGGCTGCACGTATATCCTATCTGGTTACTAGTGGTTAACACACCAACATTCATCTTCTCATCTGCCTGTCTCCTCAACAATCTAAAGATTTGTAAAACAATCATAAAACTAGCTTGATGAGCGCTGCATTTTCGAAACATACAGGAAGGTTATCTTATCTGAAAATAAACATAGTAAGTTAATGTATTGGGTAAGCAGAAGCTATGTAAACCACATAGCTCACAATACATTCCTTTTACCTACAGTGCTGTGGACACTTATTTCAGATACAGGTTTAATGCTGAGTTCGAAATAACTGATACATTAGCACTAATTGTGGTGCATTTCAGTAGACACAGCACCACTGGGAATGATGGGCCCCATCTCAATATAAAGACAAGCATCTATGGGCCTACTGTGCAACTCAGATACAGACTTGGTGACCAAGAAACAGTGGGTGGTGGCCCTGGCCCCTTGGAGTTAAAATGAACTCTGCATTTCTATTACAAGAAAACAATTGAATTAAATTCTACAAGCCAAGTTTATCTTATTAATAATATTTCCCAATAACTAGCCTGTGAAAGTGTAGGCCTATAAAATCAGAACCATCTTTGGGTTCTCTATATATATAGCCTAATATAATATACAGTAAGAGTAATAAGAACAGTAACCATTATAATAATACGATATATTAATATAATACAATATAGGCTAATATAATATTTGTTTAATATATAAATGTATTATTTTCTCACCGGATTTGGGTGGGTATCTGTAAACAGAACTGGATGGTATATCGATCTCCTCCACTCCTGCATTCTGACGGCTTGTCAAAGCTCCCATTTCAAAAAGCCAAAAATTCAAATAACACTGAATGAATGCACTCCTATTGCTGCTTCGTCTCCAGTAGTCCGAACATTTCCTTCTTCGCCTTCAAAAGCCCGTAATTTTGCTCTTCGCTTTTATATTTTTGGCCACGGACAGGATTAGTTGGTGCTCTTAATGCCCTGTAAGCTCTGTACAGAGTCCCTCGTTGTTTTGTCTGCAGACACAAGCTGCGTTTTGCGTCCTGCAGACTGAAGCCCTGTTATAAGGCTGTCTCTGTCTCCGTGGTCGGCATCCTTGGCCAAGATGCAAAGCGGAGTGAGATGCTCTCTATATGACACAGTTTCTATGGGATGCAGATGAGTAGCAGTGATGTAGAAACAAAATAAGAGGGTAGAACGGCAGTGGGCATGAATCATAGTGTCGAAATGGGCGGGAATTAGAGGACCGGATGTTGATTACATGCATAACAAATAAAACCATAATATCAAGAAAAATGTTATTTCACAGGATATTCTATAATGAACAACATTTTATAAAGCATAGCTAGATTAACATAAGTTTAAGTTTATCTATAGCCTATGAAACAGCCTAGACAACAACATAGTATTGGCCCACATCTGGTAAACCTGTAATCCTCACTGCCCAGATGTGGGCCAGATCTGGGCCAACACTATGTTTCTTTCAGGGTACATCTTAATATTAATAATTTAACATTATATCACTTCCACACATTTTTCTGTAAATGTAAAACATATCGTTCAGACTGCTATTAAAGCAGCGCAAGGCTTTGTAATGTGTTCTCTGTTACTTTTCTTTGCGCCAATGGAATAACTAGGCCCTACATTAGAATGGAATAACACTTGTTTGCGGGATAGTAGCCTATAAGGATTTTTAACATTGTTTTATAAAGATTGCTTTGACCGAATTGTATTTATATATCATGTACAAATCCTTAAAATTACATTTAAACAAATGTTTAAGTATGGGCCAACAAACGTCTTAAGTAAAACACAAAACCTCCTGATATGAATGGAGCTGAATGGAGCCGACAGGCGCCCCCTGCTGGAAGCACTCGTTTTGTCTCAACAGAAAACCGTATATCGGCTAGTAAGATTTGCTGCTCAATGATCAGTGCTGTATTACTGTCCCCCGAAGCGCTATTGGCCTCCCCTGACGTCAGGCTTAAATCCAGACTTGAGGTTTTGCGCAGTACAATCACATCCTGCCTCGCCAAACGTGACCTTCCCCGAATTTTGGAAGTGATTCACTGCAGTGCAGTAAAGACACTATAGGTAAAAGGTGTTCAATTAGTATAGACATGTGTCACCGAGTCCTATTTAAATGTATTGTTTTTATATTATAAGTATTTGTCACTGTATACATTTGACAAACAAGTTAGGGAAAGGAAGATATTAGTCGCCAAGGGATTAAATATAACAAATATAGCAGATTATAAGAGAGTGCCAAAAGTAAACAAGTAGCCTAGATAGCCTAATATACCAATATAGTTGTTATTGTTACATATTAGATTGCTTTGTGATCACATTAGACTACTGTAGCCAACACGTATGCCCACACAATTCAGTATTACATTTGTGACGAGAGCGCAAAGCCCCATTTTGAATAAGTAGCCTAGTTATTTCATACCATTGAATAAAGCAAAGTAAAAAGGGAAGAAGAATAAGAAGAAGGGTTATGGTACACAAACCATCATTTCATTTTCCCACAATTAGGCCTAGCTCAGATTTTTTTAATTATGACATTGTTATTTTTATTATTCATTAATCATTTTAAACCAGTTGTTATTTAATAATGTATACCATATAGTCTACTATAATAGGCTATACTTTTATATTTTGCATTAGGCCTACTTATTGTTGTCCTTACCGTGGCAATGCTTTTGTTGTTTAATTTGGTCAGGGACGTCCAAACATGATTATCCTCGTGATAGGGACTGCCATCCTAAAATTTAAAAGGCATATATAAAGACCCCGATTACTGTGAATAGTTAATTTTATAAATAGGCTGATTTAGACCATGTTTAGTTTCCTTTATATTGCTGTATTATTATATTTAGTATTTATTTATTCGTTTATTCATTTCAAGCAATTTTCACAGGTTAAAATTGTGACCAGAAAGAAAAAAAGAAAAGAAAAAAAGCCCTTTTTTTTTTTTTTTGATTGGGCTCAAATGTGGTAAATGCAATCAATGGTCTTGTTTGTTACGTTTTATTCCCACTTGTGCCGAAATTGCTCTGTTTGGTTTCTAGACAAGGGGCTCTCCCGAACAAGTAACGTATAGTGTCACACAGATGCCAGAGGTGGCAGTATTTCTCACCTTGCAAATGAAATAAAAGCCAAACTCGAAACTCCATGAACCACGGAAATCCGGTTGCCGCCATTTTAGAGTGATATTATCCGTTCGGCGTGTGCCTTTGGACGCTCCCGAATGGTTCAATATTTTCTCTCTGCATCTCGCTAAAAAAACGATTGTTTTGCGCATAACCTACTGCAGTAGAGTTAGTGATTCAAGATGAGTTACGGCAGACCTCCGCCCGACGTCGAGGGCATGACATCTTTAAAAGTCGACAATCTGACTTACCGCACGTCCCCTGAAACGCTGCGGCGGGTTTTCGAGAAGTATGGCCGGGTTGGGGACGTCTACATCCCGAGAGACCGGTACACAAAAGAAAGCCGTGGGTTCGCCTTTGTTCGTTTCCATGATAAGCGGGACGCCGAAGACGCAATGGACGCCATGGACGGCGCGCTTCTGGACGGACGCGAGCTGCGCGTGCAAATGGCGCGATACGGGCGCCCGCCAGATTCGCATTACAGCCGCCGTGGAGCCGCGCCGAGGAGGTACGGTGGACATGGACGGAGAAGCCGCAGGTATGTCCTTCATAATCTATCTCTTATTTTAATACCGCGATTTTAATTTGCTGGGAATTAATCATATATTCGAAGTTCAAATTTGAGGCCCTTAGGCCTCAAGTTAAGCTACTGAAAACACGTGTCATAATCCTTGTAATGCTTCTAGATGCTAACGTTAGTAGTTTTTAACCTATTTTTACATGTTGATTGTTTGATTCAGTTCATTTATTAACTGTAAGTATCGTTGCCTCGTAACTATGGCGTAGTAGCTAATAATTGCTCAACTCATTTGTGAGCGATCCGATTCACCAAAAATTGGTTCTTTTGAGCCGAATCTTTTCAGTGATTCGATTGTAGCCATAGTTCTAAAGCATTTCTATCTAGCGGTTTTATTACAAGCTCGTCTTTTACTAGTAACATTACTCGACAAAAGTTGCATGGGACCACGTGATAATGCAAAATTTAACAAAATTCTACATGGAAATTTATCGAGTGGGTAACTTATTGAGATTTCACGAGTGTTTTGTATGGTAATTACTCGAATGACTGGCAGAGATCTAAACCTTCAAATTTGTTTGCATAGTTTGTAATCCTATTTAAATGTTTATGGCCTACTGATCTGTAAATAATACGTCGGTGTACCTTTGTTTGTTTTTAGCCGTAGTCCTCGGCGCAGGAGGCACAGCAAGTCCAGGAGCAGGAGCCGTTCCCGGTCCCGTAGCAGATCTCGCTACAGCCGATCCAGGTCAAGGTCCTACTCCCGTTCCCGGTCTCGGTCCCGTTCCCGCTCCAAAACCCGCACACCACGCAGAAGCAAGTCCAAATCTGCTTCCAGGTCCCGCTCAAGATCTAAATCCAAGTCTCGCTCCAGGACTCCTACTCCGAGATCAAACAAAGGATCCAAATCAAGATCCCGATCAAGAAGTAGACCCAAGTCGCCAGAGGATGCTGGAGCCCCCGCTGAATCGTGAAATGTAGGTGAGTCTAATGCTTTGTATAGAAGTAATTACTTTATTGCAAGTAGGGGGATTTTTACTTGCATTCAATATTTCTAATTACAAGTGCATCTTTTAGTTTTTTTTTTTTTTTTTTAATAATCTTTAAAAGTCCTAAACTTGATTGATTTGAGCAGACCCCCATATAACTCATGCCTAAAGTGGGGAAAGTAAAGGCATGCATTTTAATAACTTAAAATAGCTGCTTTAAAATGAGAAATACTGTTTCTCGCCCCTCTCTACTTTCCTCTTTCATCAAGTCCTTCAAGACATCTGCCAATGCTGTAGAACGGTAGATGCATTATCTTAATGGAGGTGTCCGGTTTTACCCGAAGTTTAGTCTGATTAGATGCTGTTATTCACAGCATCTGTCTGGTGTCTCTGAATCTGCATGACTTTTAAAGGTTTATTTTTAATACGCACCCTTAACCTCACATGGATATTTGATTTGGAGCTGTCGTGGGTAGAGAACCGTAAGTATGTGTTTGTTTTGAAACGTGTACCAGCCAAATTCCATTGATTTCATCTAAATGTGGAATTCTTTCCTCCAAGCTGCTGATTCCAGTTTGCAAAAGAGGAGTTTGGGGCAGTTTGAGAGCAGTTAGTGTGTGATCCGACCATTGGCTGCCTGCTGCTGATTGGCGGTTGCTATGGAGCAGGTCGGTCTCATTGAGTGTTGAGGTGGTGTTGAGGTACGTCTGCAGGACAATGGACAGACCTTTCCATCATCCTTGTCACAAACTCATGTCTATCGTGGCATAGGCAAAAGTGGGATGGATACGGGTGTGTTCTCAAAGCCAGTTCATGCTGTCAGGCTGCTGGGTGTCTGATAGAGGCCTAATTAACTTATTTGGCCATTTAATACTATTCTAACTGGCAGTAAATGGGATGTGCTTCAGCTTGCCAACACTTAAAATGGCTTTGAGAAATTCATATTTCACCCTCAGGTTTGTTGGATCTTTTCCCTTCAGGTTTCTTGCAGAACAAATATCAGGTACACGAGGTTTCTTGCGGAACAAAAAACAGGTCTATAGATTGTAATTATGGCTAGTTATTTGTGTGGAAAGTGCCTGTTTGTTCTGTGTACCTGACCAAAGTCGAGCATTGCGTAATATGCAATGCTTCATTTTATGGTGATTTATTGTAGAACCTCCTCCACTTTAATGCTCTTTGAAACTAACTTTATTATTCTTTTCTTCTAGATGATGTCAACTGGTTGACTCCTCGAGGATCGCATCGAACAGATATCCGTCTGAGGATACCCAAATTATCCATATAATCAGACCGAAAGGTTATTGTAATTTGGTCTAAATCTTTTAAAATGACTTGTTTCTGTTGCCCACTATTGTTTTGTTTCATACATTTGAATTCCATGTGATATTAAATGGTCTTTATGCCTAAATGGGGCTACTAGTTGAAATCATTTCTCTTCATGTTTGCTAGTTTTGTTTTTCTTTCTTTTTTTTTTTTTACTTTGATATTGAAACTCCCAGACTATAAAGTAAGTTCATTTTAATTGGGTTTTTGTTCTTAATAAACATTAATGGACAATTTTGGATGTTGTGTATATTTCTTTTTGACTCTAAAGGACTGTGTACAGACTGTAATTTGGCCTCTTAAGAATCATACTATGTAAAACCATGACGTATTGCAAACCAAGCATGTTATGGTTTAATTGGGAAATTTCACAACATGATTCTAATATTCTCTCTTGTGTATTTTCTATGCACTAGGCGCAGTTGCGTAGCAGTTGAGTTTTGCTGGTTAGCTGTTAAGGTGGCGTGTTGCGGTGCAGAGTGCTTGGCTGTTTCCAGTATTCTCCTGATTGCTCCTGTATAACACCTTGATTTGACTGATTTTTGTTTAAATTTGGCTGCAGCGTTTGTCTTTTGCAGAAAGATCCTGTGCAAGTCCTTTTGTGAAAACCCATTAAGGCAGATACCTGAGCTTATTTTACATCGCCGGAAGAGTTCTATAATTTGACATGCTCAATTGGTCATATGTGAATGGTAATAAAGGTTTTCTTTCTGAGCATGACTGCATTTTTGTGCATAGATTATTATTTACTTGTCTGTTTGGTGTAAATGAGCAAATGACACCCTCCATAACTAAAAATAAATTGTGCTTTTACAAAAAGTATTGGTATACTCATTTGATCTCATTATTCATGGATTCAGACTAAATGCCCTTTGGCAAAATCTTAACTTTTTCTTTGTGTGCACAATATTATAAACCTCAATAATTGTCTTTGAAAAGACTTGATAGTTAATCAGTCAAATGAAATTAGTAGTGTGCTAATAAAGTCCATGGAATGAAAATACACCCAATTTTATTTCAAACAATTAATCTGTATGTTTCATCATTAAAGGAATAGTTCACTTTGAAATTATTTTTGATATGTTTTAGCTTACCTCAAGGACATCCAAGATAAGATGTAGGTGTCTTTGTTTTCACAGCATTTTCAATTTTGGTCAAACCGTTGTCTGTCAGTCATATAATGAAGGTAACTTATAGGGGTCCACCTCAAAGAGCATGCACAGAGAAGTCAAAATTAAACATGATTTAATCAATGACTCGTGAATCTAAGTACACACTGATGACCTAAGACACGACATGTGTGGTTTGTGTGAGAAAACGAACAGTATTTATATAGTTTTTACCTCTTGTTAAGAGCCGTCGAATTGATCTGAATCAGATGTCCAACTGAACCGTCTCCAGACGTTACGCCGGAAGTGATCTTTCGCACGTGTACGTCACGCATTATTTACACGGAGATTTCGGAAGTTTTACCTTTCACTAAACATATTTAGATATACGGGAAATCGCAATGGAAGACGATTTTGATATATCTAAATATGTTTAGTTTAGACATATTTAGATATATAGAAAACCTGCATTATATGACTGACAGACAACAACAGTTTGACCGAAAAATGTCAAAATTGAAAATGCTGTGGAAACAAAGACACCTACATCTTGGATGCCCTTGAGGTAAGCTAAAACATCAAAAATTAATTTCATAGTGAACTATCCATTTAAATGGTTTGACCACTCAATGTTCTAATGCCTACAGTCGTGTGGACATGTGCACACAGAAGACATAAGACTGCAAGCGTACATGAAGTTTGCCATTTGGGGACAAGTCCTTAGTCTGATTAAACCCCACCCTGTCCTGCATTACACTCATCTTCCTCAAATTTTGGGAGCAATGCCTACATTTTAAAATCCAATGGTGCTACCAAAGTTTAGAAAATCTTTTGGACAGTATAGCTTCTCCTAATACTCCCAATGGGCTTTTATGCTCAGCTGCACTACTTCCTGAACTTCAGCCAGCTCCTTGTTTCCTGTCTGCCATTATTGGTCAAATTAATTAATTCAGGTGTGCTTGACCTCAGTAGTCATGGCAACAATAATCAGACACACCTGAATTAATCAATTTGGCCAATAATGGCAGACAGGAAACAAGAAGCTGGCTGAAGTTCAGGAAGTAGTGCAGCTGGGCATAAAGCCAATTGGATTCAAACTACAGAATAATATTAACATCTTTACCAGAGAGCTCAAACAGTGGCTTAAAAAATCATGTGTAAAATGTGCCTTGTTTTTTTTGTAACAGCCCCTATGGACAGGTGTTGAAAATTGTGCTATAACACTTTAAACAATGCATCTGATTCGTCCAATGTTATTGCTATGTCCATAATAAGTAAAAATCAACAAGTTCCAACCTACATTTTTCTTTTTCAATAATCTGTTACACTCAAATGCAGGAGAGATATGTCAGTTTCCTCACAACTTTATCTCATTATGTACATGAATCACAAAAGTGGTTGTATTGCAAGGATAATCACCCCCAAAAATATTTTTGACCAGACCTGTTCTAAAACACTTTAAACCTATGCTGTTGTTATGCCTTTATTAACTATGAATTATTATTTACTATTAATTAACTAATTGACTATATATCTATATATATTTATCTCCTGAGAATCCATTCTAAGCTGCACGCATCTTTTCATTGATCCAGTCAATGAATGTGGTGACACGGGCATAGACACCTGGCTTGTTCTTCTTGCCACAGTTGTCACCCCAGCTCACCACACCATAGACGTAATGAATCTCATCCTTCTGACAAACAAGGGGTCCACCAGAATCACCCTATAAAAAGTAAGAGAAAAATAAAAAGTTACTACATACTGTGCCATGAGTTTGCTCATTCATTTGAAATGATCAGACTTTTGTGTTTAATGTGTAAATTTCATTAAAAGATTAGGAACACATTTGGGACTGGGACACACCGAACAAGAGTCAATCTTTCCTTGCATGTATCCAGCACACAGCATGGAATCATCCATTACATTCCCATAGACTTTAGCAGACATACAGCGTTTCTGAGAGATCAGGAGAACTTTGGCATCCAGCAGCTGAGGAGAGGCAGCATACTTATCTGGAAAAAAAAATGGTAATAGACGAGTCAGTAGTCTTGGTATTGTGAATGTCGAGAGTGAACATTTAATCCAGACAGACCTTTCTCAGTGACTCCATAGCCTGATATGGTGCACAGTGTTTCATCAGGGAATGAATCAGTGGGGAGACATGCTGCCTTAACAGCACTGGTCTCATTGGCGCACCGTCCATTTATTGCCTTTAGTTTTAGAAGGGCTGGTATAGATGAGAAACAAAAACACCGTAAAGTGGACATAATTCTAAAATCTTCAGGATCAATACATTGTCGCTAAACTTCGGAAGCGGACTTTTTGCCTTGCTGCCCTATCAGGCAATGACATTTTAGGCAGCGATGACCTCATATAATTGAAGATACCTCAAGAAACTGAGTCTTCTGGGGTTCTAATGATCTACAAGAAAATGTGCTTTGGTGATAAAAAGTGAATATTTAATTAGTACATTAGTAATTTCTCGCTCGAAATTACATTAAAGGTGGAAAACGTTGGTCAAAAACATTCATTTACACACAAACCGCAACATTTAGACTCAATTGAAATATTTTAGCTGATCTAGAACAGGATGGAAAGCACAGGATTGTGGGATATCAAAAAATGATGTAGGATATATCAATGGTGCATGCCAATATCGATCAGATGAAAATATCTCAAAAGACAGGAATTGAAGTCAATATTGGATTCGGATATGTGCTTTGATGCCTAAGGCATAAGACCATGGGGTACGGACGGACGGACCGACGATTGATGAATTGATTTAGAGTGAAAGACTGACCTATATCACTATAAAGGGCTTCAGGTGTCTCTGTATAGTTCTCATGAACAAAGGTTTTCTCCACCTCCATAAACTGTTTTGCAGGGTCATTTTTCTCCAGGTTCACACCACCCACCTCCAACCTCACCTCGTGGTTCTGATCACTGCCACAATCATGCAAACATAGTTTATCAAAGTGAAGCAATCACTATCAATAATATTCTTCCATATCTATAGTAACTTAACACCATGAAATCAAAATGAAGGCATAGACCTAATGCAACAACAACCCCAGATGCCCAACTTACATACAGTGAGCAGCAGTTAGGACCCAACAGGAGTCGATAAGGATTCCTCCACAATGGTGGTCGAAGGTTGCATTAGAGCCCTTGGGCCGGACCTGAAATGAGACCTGCCAGGGATGCGCTTCAGGCAGGGACTTCCTCCCACCAAATATCCTTGGGGATATATTAGTCTGAATCTTTCCACAGTCAGAAAATTCCAGTTTTGCAGGGGTTGTGGAGGGTTTTACTGGTTCTGTGAGAGTTTGATAAATAAGTATTGTGGTACAGTTAACAGGCTGATAGAGCAGGTAGAAGAATGTTTCTGTGTTTGCATTTATATGAGAACATAGAAAGAAAATCTGTGCCTGGTTCAGAACAAGGCCTGACATTACAGTAATCCCACTGGAGTTTGCCCTTCTGTTTCACAAAGCACCATGGTTCCCGGTCTCCATCCGGGTTTCTTAAGTGACAAAGAAAATGCTTAAAACGACATATGTGACAGATGTGGTATCAAAATTCAATAGATTTACTAGGAATTCCCTGAATTCTTACCGGCAGTAAGTGTGGGTTCCAATGCTTTGACTGTAGGGAATAAGATGGTGGTTCCAGGGTAAACATTCAAATCCATCTAATGTCTCACTGACAAAACCTCTGTATGATGCCCCATTCCCTACGTAGCAATCATTTGGACCTGAATACAAAATGACATAACAGCATTACTACACCTTGACAGGGTTATGTAACCTAACAAATGGATTTGGCAGTATTCGGGAAGTTCACTTTGGTTCAGTTCACACATTTTAAAATGAACTAGTTCAGTTCATAGTTCATACTTCAAAAAATGAACTAGTTCATAGTTATTTTTTTCCATATGTTGCGAGCTTATTTTTTATTATTTTATTATTATTATTATTGCCACAGCCCATATACACAGAAATGTAACATTCTTAATTTGACACTGTGGTGAGCAGGACGGCCGAGGGACGTGAGAGAAAGTCGCGAGGCCGGTGGTGCGATTGCTAATGAGCAGCACCTGTGAAGCACACCGGTGAGACTTTCTCTCACGTCCCTCGGCCGTCCTGCTCACCACAGACACAAAAAAGTTTGGGCCTAAAAAACATGACTTTGCATAGAGCACATTTAAAAGTACATATCTTCCTTTGCTTTGAACTTTGAGGGTTGTTGTAACTTTGTTTATGCTCAAACCACAACATTGGACACTAACTAACATTAGAAAAGTGAAATCATAATCAACCAACACTTTAAAATAATACGAAAACAAGTTTGTACCAGTTTGCAATAAAAAGCAGTAACAGGTAAAATTACTGGAAGCGAATTCAGACACATACAAATTACAAATGGCCATCGCTATTGCTAAAAAATTAAGGTGGATAAAATAAAATGAAATAAAAAGATTTAGTAACAGTCTATTACCAACTTGGCAGAACCTCCCACTGTAATCCACGGGACACTTGCATGTAAAACTAGATCTTAAACGGCCTTTAACACACCTTCCACCATTCAGGCATGGACTTGGTTTACACGCAGAGGCTAATATTGCAAACACAATAAGCATAAAAGCAATTAATAAGACAAACTGGATTAGCCTACAATTTCAGGTGGACAGAAAATAAGTAATTCACTACAATCCAACTTCATAAAAAACATGTAAATTCATTCAGAAATTTTTTTCCAGCAGAAAGAAACACTTTGAAAGTAATTTGTTTTACAGAGACACTCACCTTTCTTGCACTTAGAGCCCACATAGGGGGGCCAGCACTTGCATTCATAAAATGGGGATTTCTGAGTTCTGACACAATCACCATGACCACACTTCACTTTCTTACACACGTTCCTCTCTGGAAGATCCCAACGAACATAAAGTTTCAGAAATGATTCACACTCTTACTGGTAAATATTTCTGGGTGTAGTATATGAAGAACTCACCATTTTGACAATTTTTGCCAATGTAAGGCTCTGGACAGATACATTTATATCTGTCATCATCTAGGATCTCACATACTCCGTTGTTCTGGCAAGGATTTGGATCACACACTTCTACAGAACATGGACATGATCAACATTCATATGTTTGTGAGCACCAAACTGAACCCCTTTAAAGGGATACTCCATTTATTTTGGAAATAGGCTCATTTTACAACTACCCCAGAGTTAAACAGTCGAGTTTCACCGTTTTCGAATCCATTCAGCCGATTTTATGATATTTAGAAGAATATCAGTAACCAGACAGTTTCTGGTCTCATTGACTTCCATAGTAGGAAAAAATATATATACTATGGTAGTCAATGAGACCAGAAACTGTCTGGTTACTGATATTATTCTAAATATCAGAAAATCGGCTGAATGGATTCGAAAACGGTCAACTGTTTAACTCTGGGGGAGTTGTAAAATGAGCCTATTTCCAAAAGAGTGGAGTATCCCTTTAATACATTTGCATTGTCTACTCATGTGTGTTCTTGCCTGGTTCATCAAAGAAGGAAAAAATCCAATCAATGGTGTCATTCATTTCTGCTGAAGATAGTGATATATAATCTGTGTCATTAGCAGCGTAATCATATATTTCTGTCAAGGGGACGAGAGAGAAATAACAATGATGTGAGTATGCTACGAACCTTGGGATATACAGAAATGTAGACCAGACAATACAATATTTCTCACCATCAATAAGTTCGAAAGCTGTCGTGACAATGTCTTCCAATAGACCCTGGAACAGTTGGCATAAAATTCAGTCAGATAGCAGTGTAATATCACTTATAGTAAAGAACAAGTTGGAATATTTCAAAGTATTTTCATATGGTTACATACCGGTGCTGCTTGAACAGGTAAAGTGAGGCCAGACATGCCTATCAGAAGCAGAATCACTGGAAACATGTTTCCAGAAGTAATAGATGCACAATCCACTAACGCAAACTCACTGATCTTATTTAAGGGGAGTATTTGTTGACCTGAATGTGGATGGTCCCTGGACCCTTTTCTCGGCCCACTCTCTAGCAATCATTACTTAACAGCATTGATTTTCTGTGTTATGGTCAGTGAACCACAGATATGCAATAAAACTCTATTCTGGTTTAATCTAATGTCTAATATGAATTTATGCCAAAGCTTAAAGCTATACAACAAGTCCCTGTTATCCCCCCATAATTTATCTGCTGATATTTGTTGGAAATTTGCAGTGTACAATTAAACTAAAAGGAAATTGATTTGCACTGAAACTGTCCTTTGGACCTTGAACCATTTGGTTCCCACTGAAGTCCATTATATGAAGAAAAATCCTGGAATATTTTCATCAAAAACCTTAATTTCTTTTCAAATGACATGGATATCTTGGATGACATGGGGTTGAGTAAATTATCAGCAAGAGTATTTTTAAAAGTGAACTACTCCTTTAACCCAAACCATCACAGAAAACGTTTTGACTGCTTTTTTCACATTTTCAAAAAACATCACTTAGATTTATAAGCCGTTTTTGCTAATAGTTTGAATTAGCTTGTATTTTTAAATGGTACATTTTCTTAATTTTAGAAATTGTTTTGTTATTATTTTATCTATTACTATTTTATTATATACTGTGGTTTTTATTTCAGTATTAATTTGAGAGATTTTAGTACAAGTTAAACTAAATAACTAAATAAGGTTTTATAATATCAACACTTTTGTAAGGGTGCAACTGAATGTGAATTTAAAATCATTTTCGCCAACACTGTGCTAAAATAGTTTTCATTTTGCAAGGATTCCAAACACATCAGTGCATTTGTACTCTACAGAACTAAGACGTAACACTTAAACCATAGTTTTTCAACTGATTTTTATTTAAAAGAAGAGAAACGGATCAGTTGACTCTGGAGTGCAGAAGTTCGTTCTCAATATATACAGCATGAGAGATAAATATTCAGAGATCATCTGTCGGTGCATCACATCAAATGAGCTCAAGGGTGCCTTGAACACACTCACAACTGCTCAAAACATTTCAGTATTAACTTGTAAATGCATTCAAGTGCAAGTGGCAAAGTAAAAAAAATGCTATCAAAACGTAAAAAGGTAAATATATATATATATATATATATATATATATAAAAACACTGTACCATAAGAAAAAGTGTCTCTTGCATTTCATTCATATTTTCAGGAATGATATGGTCACCAGCAGTAATATTGTTCTTATCTGGGAGCCACAACAAGAAGTAAATTAAAACACTTCACATGAATTTTGTTCGCACTCATTAATACCCAACAGAATCGTTTTTCTCTCTTCTAGGTGCACTGTGATTGTCAGATGATGGGTGGCATCTTCTCAAAACACACCACACACTCAAACAAATGCATTTTTACTGGCAAACAAACAAACAAACACACACTCAGTCAGTCGCTATCATGCCAGTCCTGAAATATGAATCCCATCAATCTACTTCTAGTGTGAATCACACACACGGCCAATACAAATCCTCCACTCCACTCCTACACATCAAATGAGATCTGCTCTCAACAGAACACTTAAGCGCTAACACTATAAATGGAATATCTGAGAACAGCAGGAAATGTCAGACCATTGAATTCGACATCAAACTGTTTCTCAGGAAAAAAAAAATCACTCCATTATTTCAAATTCCACATGCACCATGCTCTATGAGCACTAGGAGGCGCTCAGGAGTTACATTCATTTGTGGACTACATTGACTGAAATCAATAGGGAGGGTATTTTTTTCTCCATAAGTAGCAATGACCAGTTCACCACGTCAGTGCATCTCCTCTATAATTAAGGCACAATAATGTCCTTTTCTAGTGTTTTCCCCCTGTAATGAGTTGGCCTTTAGTGGCCAGGGGTAGTTGGGAGATTTCCCTTGTACAAATGTGCAGCTCATGTGTACTCAGATTTGCGAATGTAGTTGGATGGTACGTAACCCCTCCGTCCTCCTGCCTCCCCCAGCCACCACTCCGGGTTCCCATTCATGTCCTGGAACTCAAGGATTCGTACCCGCTGATTGGCTGAAATGCTGAGCTCATTTGCACACCGTGCACTGAAGGAGTAAAGAGCGTAATATATCTGGGGGGGAGGGGGGAGGTGGACGACAAGTAGAAAAAAAAATATGAAGAAACAAATAGATGTAAAACCTGTTGTTTAATCATTTTATTGTACATTCAATGGTTTTTAATTTTTGTTTTTAAAATAATTGTATAAATTTATTTTTATTATTTTATGAACATCAAATGTATTTAAGGAGCTATCTTTAGCTCCTTAAAGGAGTAGTTCACTTTAAAAAAAAATAAATAAATTAGCTGATAATTTACTCACCTACATGTCATCCAAGACGTCCATGTCTTTCTTTCTTCAGTCGAAAAGAAATTAAGGTTTTTGATGAAAACATTCCAGGATTTTTCTCCATATAATGCACTTTACTGGGAACCAAACAGTTCAAGGTCCAAAAGACACTTTCAGTGAAAACTGCAAACTGTTGAAAGGGCTTTAAACGATTCCGGACGATGAATAAGGGTCTTATCAAGCGAAACGATCGCTCATAAAAAATAAAGTTTAAGTTTTATAAGCTCAAATGGTCGCCTTGCTCTGTTCTGTGTTGCGCGTTCGTGACTCTCCTGTTCGAAATCGTTCATCAAAATGAAGGAATCTTTTTGATTCAACGAACAAAATGAATTCGTTCATTTCGTTTAAAAGCCCTTTGAACAGTTTGCACTGAAAGTGTCTTTTGGACCTTGAACCGTTTGGTTCCTACTGAAGTCCATTATATGGAGAAAAATCCTGGAATGTTTTCATCAAAAACCTTATTTTCTTTTCGACTGAAGAAAGAATGACATGGATATCTTGGATGACATGGGGGTGAGTAAATTATCAGCAAAAGTTTTTTTTTAAAAGTGAACTACTCCTTTAAATACATTTGGGTAACAAAATAGGTTTTAAAATCAACATTAAATCAAAATTTAACCTATTAATATGAGGAACCATAGATGTCAAGTAATGCAGTTTAATTATACACTGAATTATATTTATTATATTTAATAATTATTCAAAATCCTATTCAATATCCTAATACTAAGGATGCTAATAAACAACTAGTTAATAGTACCCTAAACATTGTTACCATAATTTAATTTATTCAACTTGTATATTTTCATTCAACAAGTTATATTATGGCTTGTTGTAAAAATCATTTTATGTTTACTTAAGCAATCACTGAATTTTGGAGTGATTAATTTGTGTTTGTGATATGACATACCTGGTGTCCATCAACCTCAGGCTCTGGATCTACATTCTCCTCAGGGGGGAACTGTGGTCTTCTCTGCTGTACCAAAGAGTCTCCATTTTGTCTTTGCAGTGAGCCACGCAAGTCGTGATAACTCGAAGATGATTCATACCTGGAGTTCTTAATGGAGGAACAAGACTCTGTCTCAGGGAAATCTGGAGGGTCACTGTGATTGGTTGGAGTGCTTTGATCTGAGTCTAAAGAGTCTCTGTGATTGGTGGGATTTCGGTATGAAGGCTCTGAGGAGTCCCTGTTATTTCGACAGGCTGTCTCTGACGGTTCTTTGTGATTGGGCGAGTTTCTGAAGGTGGGGTCAAGGGAATCCCTCTGGTTGGCAGAGGAGTAGTTGGCTGAAGAAGCCTCTCTGTTTTTCCTTGGAGTGGTTTCCTGATTAGGGCGAGTGTTTGATTGGTGTGGAGGCATCGCCGTTGAGAAGCTGACAGTCGAAGTCTCCTGGTTGAAAGTCAGAGTGCTGTTACTATTCTGCCGTGAGAACATGGGAGAAGAGCCACCGTAGCCCGACTCGTTTGACGATTGGCTTTCAATGGAAACATCCGACTGACTCCTGCGTGGATTGTAGTGCTTTAAGAATGAGCTATATACAAAGCCCTTCGTAACTAAAGAAAATCAGAAAAAGGGGTGTTCAAGCCAAATGCATTTTAGGAAATGCAGACATGTGAATCATACACAGATGTTTCAATACAAACCTCCATTGTCTATAAGCCAGCGGTTTTGGCTGCCCATTGGGTCTTGCTGTTTGATGACACCCACTATGTCTCCCTCCAGTACGGACACATCCAGGTCCTGTGCTGCGTTAAAATTTCTTTCAGCCTGGTAGAGTTGCTCTGGTCCATATCTTGCCAGAAGCGCCGCTCGGTGCTCATCCGTCTGTAGCACATAGTTTGGCTGCAATGTCAGACAGAAAAAGGGGAAAAGAAAGAGAGGAGAATGAATAATAGACGGAATACTGCCTGATTAATGTCTTTCTTCGCGGTGGTTGGCAGTGGTGCTGTTTAAACCAGCCTAAGCTGGTTTGTTGGTCTGGTAAACAGGCAAACCAGTCAAGTCTAATCAGCTTTACATTTATTCATTTAGCTGACACTTTTATCTAAAGCGACTTACAATTGCTATATATGTCAGAGGTCGGAGCAACTAGAGGTTAAGTGTCTTGCTCAGGGACATATTGGTGTCTCACAGTGGATTCGAACCCGGGTATCTCACACCAAAGGCATGTGTCTTATCCACTGGCAGGGAAATATTTAAAGGAAGATATTTAAAACTAATTAACTTTGTTGCTAAGAAATTTTATACAAAAATAAAACATTTTAGAATGATCTATATCATATTATAGTGTTTATTAATATTCAGAATTATTTTGTACGCATACAACTTTCAAGCTGTGATAATTGTTTGCTTTTGTGCTTTGGTCATTTTTATTAGTTTTTAAAATAATTTCAATTTCGTTTTAAATAATTTTTTATCTTAGTTTAGTAAATTTAGTACTTCAACTATTTCAGTTAGTTGCCAAGGCAACATTTCAAGTTTAAATTACGCTTAAGTTGACGTATATTAAGCCAGCTTTAGCTTTATTTAAATTACCGAAAACGATTTTTAATAATTAGTTCATTTTTCGTTTAACTTTAGATAACAATAACATTGCTTAGAAGCCGTGTCTGTTTTGGATCAGGCTGCATTAGGGAAACTCACAGGGCCTTGTTGCTTCCTGGAGCTTTGCTTCTCCAGAGTCTTCTTCTCAAAAGGCTTGCGTAGAGTAGTGGGAAGATTATCAGGAAAGAAACTGAAGCTCTGAAGTAAATCCAAAACTCGCGTGTGCTCTTCTTGGAACAAGGACACTAGATTTCCTTCTGTTCCACCCAAGCCAGATAGCTATAGTGATGAAAACAATAACAAGAAGTTTAAAATATTTAAGGCGGCTGTCAACATCCCAGAATCATCAATTATGAATGATGTAGATGATGAAACAATGTCCTCACCTGCAGCAGTGGTGTGAGTTCTCCCAGTGTGAGTGAAACAAAATCTCTCTGGGCTTGGGCAAAGCCCCTCACACAGCTGGTGAACAGATCTTCGGCTGCGTGGTGAAACTTGGGCAGCTCATCCAGCAGCTGGGCGTTCAAGGCTTCGTAGTTATTCCTCGCGGCCTGTAGCTCCTCCTGCACACGCTTGTCCTTCAGCCTCTCTGCACGCTCCTTACAGTTGTCGTAGTCCAGCAGCTTGTCTCTACGTTTCTGGATCAGTTTGTGGGGACCGGCGAACATATTGAGCAGCTGGGTAAGTGGAGTGATGACTAGGTCTTCTGTCCTCTCCTTCTGCTCAAACACAGACACACATGCACTCAATTAGAAACAGTCAAGATATAGTTCATCGTGATATTATGACATAAGATGTGCTTCATTCAAATCAATGTCTAATAGGGGGGAAAGAAAACTAAATCACAACAACAACAAAAATCTGATTAGTGTTTCTTCATGGGGAGTTATATGCTAATTTTGTTATATGTGAAGAGTAAACCTTGTGTCTACAAGCTTAGAAATGTGTTTGAAAAACACTAACATTAAGTAACATCAGTTAATAGTATAACTCACCATTACAAATGAATCTCAGCTGCTTTATCAGTTTTTAATACTAAATGTAATGTGAAGTCATTTTGGTACTCACAAATTCTGTGAACTGTTTGTCGCTGATGCATCGATGGGCTCTTTGGAAACGTTCAGGATCCATTTGCTGTTGCCGCTCTGTGTAGATGTCACAGAAACTGATGGCTGCCAGCACCTTTACTGAGGCTGACTCCTATTGGATTTGAAAAAGGCGGGCAAAATTACTTCATATACTGAATTGTGAAGTGATTTTGATTATAACGCAAAACAAAAACTGACTAAATGAATGGAAACATATGGGATGCTTTAAGTTTATACCCTTATATGCTGCAGATAGAGGGAGATGTTCCTGATGAAGGATTTGATGAGTCTCTCCTGAAGTCTAAATCTTTTCTCTGCGTCATCAAAAGCTTCATCTTTGATCTAATGAGGAATGAAATGCAGTTCGGTTAACACCAACTGTTAACCGATTCTCTCTCAGTAATAGATTCGTAATAACAGAGCCAATGTACCTGAGGTGAGATCCCAGTCAGGTGCTTTAAATGGCTGCTCACTCTGTTTGACTTCTTGATGATGGAGTGCATACTCAGCTTTGAGATCTTGTCAATGAGCCTGTCTTCATCAACTTTGCGGTACTTTACCACTATAGACAACAGATGGTGCTGTTGAGTTATGCCAGATAACAGACATCATATCCGACAGACAGATAGACAGACAGACAGATAGAGATAGATAGATAGATAGATAGATAGATAGATAGATAGATAGATAGATAGATAATATATACCA